TTTAAATATGAATTGAGAGATTTCTACGATTTTATTTTGAGAAATATTGCCAACGGTCAATACCATATATACAGAAAGCAAATGAAAAAATGCTTCCCCCCCCAAAAAAAAATGAGGCATTTCTGTACAGCAGAAACGGTAGCTCACCAAGAAAAAGTAAGGTCATTTTCAGATTCAGCGCCATCAAATTAGCTAAAAAATATATTTGGTGTGTCGACACCATTTCAAAATTTTCTTGTTGACTAATATTATCCACCATGTTTGTTTATAATGATAGTACGTAGTCTGTTTTTCTTGCTAACCATCACATCACGTCGAAGTAACCTTAAAATAATACACTAATTCTAAAATTTTGTACATTTTGTAATGGAATTACATAAATACACCCTTTATGAATACAAATTAAATAAATACGCCACTCTCTAGGCTAAAATAACACTGTATGTAGTTTGATGAATTAATTGATGTAGTTTGATGTCATTTTCAGATTCAGTGCCTTCAAATTTGCTAAAAAAGATGTTTAGTGTGTTCGACACCATTTAAAAACTTTTTTTGTTACCGATTTTTTTTTTTTTTAAATAATTCTTTTTTCTTTTTACTAATTCTTTTTTTTTCTTTTCTTTTATCTTTCCAGAAACTGACGTTATCTACCTTTTCCAGCTTGTCTATACCTGTATGTAATTTGGTACAAAAAAAAAAAACCATATTCACGTGAAATTAAAATTTACCAATATTTCTCAAGGCGATACTCCACAACATTTAAGCACAAAAAAAGGAGATTTTCATAATTTTTAGACTAACTCTACCCGTGTTTAAAAAAAAAACAAAACAAAAAATGATACATTTATAATTAGACGCACAAAAAGAACTAACAAAAATTTAAGTCTGAAAACAAAAATTTCATAGTGTCATCAGTTTTATAGAAGAACCTTTCCCCAGGAACGGGAAAGTAAAAAAAATTGATATTTGTTTTAGACAAATATGAAAAGACTATATGATATTATGAATACTAAGTACAACTAAAATTTAAAAAAAATAATTAAATGCAAGGATTTGCCTTTGAGTATATTCCGTACAAAATTCACCCGTTAATCTGTATGTATATATATATATATGTATATATATGTGTATATATATATATGTATATATATATATATGAAGCTATACAAACTTATATGTAAATTAAAAGTTAAACAAATCCTAAGTAAACAGTTAATTTATTGAACTTATAGCATTTAGTGATAGCAATATCGATTATTTATATCGATTAATACAGAAGAGAACTTAAATTTCGGGAGGAGCTTCTCGAATTTACCAAACATTGATTTTAAAACGGCCATCACGAAATCAATCAAACTGGCGAACGATACAAGTACAGAAAATATGCCAACCAAGGGTAAGTAATGAATGAATATATATATATATATTTTTTTTTTTTTTTTAAATGTGTCACGAGTAAATGTTATATCATGTAAACATTACTCTTTAATAGGTAGTCAGATAAAAAGAAACTTACTTTCTTTTGTTTCTTGTTTTTATAGGATAAATAATATTCATAATTATTTTTTTTGAAATATTGTATTACATGGCCAATATTAACAAATGAATTTGTAAGTTTCAAAAATCCAAATTTAGCAAATATAGATTTCATTTTATTTTCAGAACGATATTTTAAAAAAAAACAATTTCTGGTCAAGAACATTATCTTTCTATTCAAATATTGTTAGTTTTAAGTGTTTATAAATAGTGATGATAGAATGAAATTTATTGTGAAACTAAAGAAACCATTTTTTCTGTATTCTTTATTATATTGTCATATATGTACTTAAAATATTCCATATTTGACATTACCAAAATTCTTCCATTCTTTTATATCTCTACGTAAGAAGATTTTATATAACGCGTTTAACGAAAATTCTTTCATTGCCATTTAACGGTAATCGTAGAGATATTCATGTTTAATATGACCAAAATCTTACTAAAATATGTGTTCTTTTATGTTTAACGTATGGAGATATGAAAGTTGGCATAACCAAAATTCTTGCATTCTTTTCTGATATGTAAATAGTTTTATATAACGTGTCTAACCAAAATTCTTCCTTTGTGTGTTTTTTTACCCTAATCGTAGAGATATTCATAATTGATTTGACCAAAATTCTACAAAAAATATGTGTTTTATGTTTAACGTTTGGAGATATGAAAGTTTACATTACCAAAATTCTTACATTCTTTTCTTATATATATCTGTACATTAGAAGATTTTATACAATGCTTCTAACCAAAATTCTTCCATTGTCTTCTTTTTTTTTTTACCCTAATCGTAGAGATGTTCATTTTTGACATGACCAAAATTCTACTAAAATAAGTGTTCTTTTACGTTTTTATGTATGGAGATATGAAAGTTTACATTACCAATATTCTTAGATTATGCTAACGTTACTGTAGCTTTTATTTGTATGTAAATGTTTCTTATATAATTGTTGTGACTTAAATTCTTCTTTTATAGGAGATTCCTTTGCATTATATATATATATTTGGTTATGACTAAAATTCTTATAAAATAATATTTATTTTGTATTTTTATGTGGCATTACAAACATACTTCGCTTTTTCTATTATCGCATGTTAGTTGCATTTATCCGAGCGTTAACACGCTGTTAGTACTGTGGGCCATTTTCACAGCATTTTTACGGTGGAGTTTTTAAACATTCCAATTAATAGGGAGTCAAATAAAAAGGTTATAAATACTTTAGCGTTATTTCTAGTTTTTTTTTTATAGAATAAATAAACATACTAAAAATATCTTTCTTTTTTGTTTTTACTTGCATTATTTACATTATTCGCACTATCATCCTCATCTTCCTTACCATATTCACAACGTTTCGGTCGTTTTACCCTCCGGCCTTCTTCTGGTTATTCGAATTTCGAACCGAAACTTTTATCTCGTCCACCGGGGTAGCTTGTTTTAGTTCCACGTGCCATACCTCTTCTTCAAATGGCCCAGTGAATAAAGACGTTGGTTAGATCCAGTAACTAGACCCAAAGAGTTATGAGTTCAATACCAAGCCACAGCAGTGCTGAACCAAAACAACGGGAGAGTTGAGTTAAAGGGAAATAACTGAGACACCCGAGAGAGGCACGGCACGTGGAACTAGAACTATCTACCCCGATGGAGGAAATAAAGGGTTCGGTTCGAAATTCCAGTCACCTGAAGAAGTACGGAGGGTACCACGGCCGGAACGTTGTGACTATGGCAACGAAGATGAGGATGACAGTCCGAATAATATAATGCAAGTAATCATAATATTTCATCTCAGAGATATATAGAGTTTTTTTGGGTTTTTTTTGGGAAAATTTTATGAGATGGCCAAAATTAAAATTGAATGTGTAATTTTCAAAAATTCAAATTAAGTAAAAATAGATTTCATTTTCAGAATGATATTTTTAAATCAGTTTCTGGTCAAGAACTGTTTCTTCATATTCCAAGCAACGAACAAAAAACTTAATGCTTGTATACGTTTCTACCAAAGGCATTACAGATTTAATATTCATGTCCTTTTAATTCACAGAAATACAGTGTGCGGTAGTAATACGTCCCATCTATCAGTAAGACATTGGGCATCCTGACATGGTGTGATGATTAACAAGCTTGTCTCGCTAGATCAATTATGATGAATAGTGACGTTCAACACACACTGGATGCTCCATACTTATGGCCTTGTGCCATATCCAAGCTACGCTTAGAAAATAACCATAATACTAAGACAATAGCTATATCAAGATACTATTGCCACTAATGTCTTACCATTAAGTGGGGGGGATATTTAGGGCAGGTGTATATGGGAGGTGCTTCTTCTGTTTCTTCTGTTATGACTAAAACGAGAAATTTCTAGTAGTTTTGCGACAAAGGTATTCACAAAGCCACTTGACTAATAAACATTTGAATTGCCACTTGCTAAATAATAAAGGGAAAAACATTGTTTGGGATGTCCTGGACTAAAGTATGGTCATTTATCTTAATATGTTTCACAATACCAAATTCTTCTCAGTCAATAATTCAAATGTCTTCATCTGTAGGCATCTAATACTAAAACACTCTAACCTTGTATGCATGTATGTATGTTCCCAAGATAAACCTTAAACGGTACATAATACCCTAACCAATTTAGGAATATATTCTACATTAAACCCCTTCTGAGTACCAAATTTAATTAAAATTAGACAAGGGGTTCTTGAGCTAGGGCCGTTTTTCTGTTTTTATAGTATTTTAAAAAGGAAATTCAGTATTTGTTTTCAATACATATTCTTAAAGAAATCCGCGTATATAAACAAACACTTATTATATTCCAACTATTATGTGTGTGAAAAATAAGAACAACATTTCTAATTGGAAATTCAGTATTTGTTTTCGATACATATCAAGCCGTGTACATAAGCAAACAGTTGCATATTATATCCCAACAACTGCGTGTGCGAAAAATAATAAACTATAACATCTATCTCATTCTGTTCATATCTATCTTTGTTCGTATTATCTCAATCTTTTTCTATCTATCTCAATATGTTCATATCTCTGTCATCTCAAGGTATTCATATCTATCTATCTGCTTCAGTCTGTTCATATATATTTATTTATCTCTCTCCCTTTCTGTTCATATCTATCTAATACTAAAACTCTCTAATCTTGTATGTATGTGTGTCCCAAGATAAATCTTAAACAGTACATAATACCCTAACGAATTTAGGAGCGTATTGTACTTTTAGTCCCGAATACAGTGCGAAATTTCATTAAATTTAAACAAGAGGTTCTTCTGCTAGTGCCGTTTTTTCTGTTTTTACGGCATTTTTAAATAGGTAATTCAGCATTTGTTTTCGATACACATTCTTATATCAAGCCGTGTATATAAACAAACACTTGCATATTATATTCCAACTATTAGGAGGTGTGAAAAATAATAGACATAATAAATTAAACAACATCTATCTCATTCTGTTCATAGATATCTATCATTGTTCGTATTCTCTCAATCCGTTCCTATCTATCTATCTATCCATATATTAGTCTGTTCATATCTATCTATCCATATATTAGTCTGTTCATATCTATCTATCCATATATTAGTCTGTTCATATCTATCTATCCATATATTAGTCTGTTCATATCTATCTATCCATATATTAGTCTGTTCATATCTATCTATCCATATATTAGTCTGTTCATATCTATCTATCTATCTTCGTATTATCTCAATCTGTTTTTATCTATGTATGAATGTATCTATCTACCTAATTATGTTCATATCTATGTCATCTCAAGGTATTCATATCTATCTTTCTGCTCCGGACTGTTCACACACACACACACACACACACACACACACACACACATATATATATATATATATATATATATATATATATATATATATATAATATTAAACTTCTCTAATCTTGTATGTATGTGTGTTCCCAAGATAAATCTTAAATGGTACATAATACCCTAACCAATTTAGGAGCGTATTGTACATTTAGTCCCTACCGAATGCAGTGCCAAATTTCATTAAATTTAAACAAGGTGTTCTTCAGCTAGGGCCGTTTATTTTTCTGCTTTTACGGCATTTTTAATAGGAAATTCAGCATTTGCTTTCGATACACATTCTTATATCAAGCCGTGTATAAAAACAAACACTTGCATATTATGTTCCAACTATTAGGTGTGTGAAAAATAATAAACATTCATAATACATTATGACAAAATTATTAAATAAATTTATCTATGCATAGCACATTTATTTATACAATTACCTACAATATATTAAACCTTTTTTTTTACAAACAACTACTTGAAAGGTGAAGAGGTTACATGTGTCGCATGGATTTATAATTAATAGATAGATAGATGTACGCTGATTTACCCCAGATATTCACGTAGCTGGTCTTGGAAACCCCCACCTAGGGCAAATGAGGTCACTTACAAGAGCTGCACATCACCTTGGAGCCTTCCTAGGGCTTTCTAAAATTTCCCATTTGTAGCAAGTCATGAAGAACTTTCGGAATTTGGAATTTCCGATAAAGGATACTCAACCAGTAAGGAATTTTTACAGCATTTTTTTATAGATTCTACTAGACATGAAGACAGTGTTCTATCTATCTATCTCATTCTGTTCATACCTATCTTTTTTCGTATACTTTCAATCTTTATCTGTCTGCTGCAATTTGTTCATATCGATATCTATTAGTTCCAGTTTGTTTCTATCTAAGTCTAATTATATCTATCTCTGTCTATTTATCAGTAAATCTCTAATCGTGTATGTTTGTATGTACTTATGTATGTGTGTGTATTCCCGAGATACACTTTAAATGATACATAATGCCCCAACCAATTGAGAAGCATATTGTATCTTGAACTTCTGCCGAGTGCAGTACCAAATTTCATTAAAATTAGACGGGGTCTTATTGAGCAGGAATCGTCGTTCTATTTTACGGCTTTTTTACATATCAGTCTGTGTATATAAATAAATGCTTGCGTATTATATTCCAGCCTTTATGTGTGCAAAAAGTAATAAACATACATTATACATTATAACAACATTATTAAATAAATTTAAATATTCATAACACAACATGGTGCTACTAAAATATGATATCTACTGAGCCATTTGCGACTTACCGTAAATGACGATGCCTTCTATGAAACAACCCACTTTCGGCTTGCATCAATTAATTTATCAAACTACATAAAGTGTTATTTTAGCCTAGAGAGTAGCGTATTTATTTAATTTGTATTAATAAAGGGTATATTTATGTAATTCCATTACAAAATATATAACATTTTAGAATTAGTTTATTATTTTAAGGTTACTTCGACGTGATGTGAATGTTAGGAAGGTAGCAAGAAAGCAGACGACGTACTATCATTATAAACAAACATGGTGGATAATATTAGTCAACAAGAAAAATTTGAAACGGTGTCGACACTCCAAATATCTTTTTTTAGCTAATTTGAAGTCGCTGAATCTGAAAATGATCTTACTTTTTCTTGGTTAGCTTCCGTTTTTGCTGTACAAAATGCCTAATTTTTGGAAAGAAAGCATTTTTTTCATTTGCTATCTGTATATATGATATTGATCGATGGCAATATTTCTCAAAATAAAATCGTAGAAACAATTCAATTCGTATTTGAACCAACTAATATTGGTCGACTTATTGAGAAATACTATTTTCCAGTTGGATTTCTTTCCAACTGTTTGTTTGTTTTCCTCTCATAGTGAAAGGATAATCAGGCCCTAAGTTTTTTTTAAAAATAACACGATTGAATATATTATGATCAAGTATTTTCATCAAATCATTTAATAAACTAACATCAGAAATAAAACCTTTTTGCTCGTGAACATAAACTATGGTAAAATTTTCTCAAAATTCTTTGATTGTCTGTTATGTTTTTCAATGTTAATTAAGTCCCTTTTGATACTCCAGCAGTATCATGTACAATGGAATAGGTGCATTCAATTGGGATGTCTTTAGTTGGAGTTTCTTTTCCACTGTGAAAACAAAATGCTCTCAATGTGCTTGGTTTTGTTCCGTAGTGAAAGGATAAATTTATGAACATTAATTTTAGCGTTTCATTTTTTAATGTCACCTTAATTATCATGTTTACTAAAATGTATTACTGATAAAGTTTATCAGTTAATTTGAATTTTGGAGATAAATTGGAAAAAAATGGTAGTTCTATTTTAAAAGTTTTGACTGTAAACACTTTTTAGCTTATTTCAGGTGGCTGACATAAATTGCCCTGTCTACCTGAAAATTGATGGGTTTCTACGACCTTTATTAACTAAATTTTGCGATCAGCCAAGATCGTAAATTGATCTATATTTCCAAAAATGAGCAATTTAAGTACAGCATAAAACGGTACTTAACCATGAAAAACTAAGGTTTTATTTTTTTAATCATCACCATCAAATTAACTAAAAAATGGGCTTTGCTTCTTGGCACTAAAAAACGTGTTGGCCAGTGTAATCTGTACAAGATACTAATAATACTTTTGGAATTAACGGTAGTTTTATTTAGCTACCTGTTTTGTTTTTCAGTAGTACACAATGTACCGTAAGAATGTAACATTCTTGGAGTACATATGAAATGCAACTGTCAACCAGCATTACGTGGCTGGAGTTGGGGTTTGTGGATATACCGAAGGCTATGATTAGATAAACGAAAGACTTTTGGTACCAGTAGGAAATTACCTACTGACTATCGTCAATATTTGAGAAAAGAATACAATGAGAAAAGAAACAATATGCAAGGTGTGAGAAAAGAAACACAAAATGTTTGTCAAATCCAAACTACAATCTAACTGCAAGTTTTCCCTTCGAAATTAACCCCTACGAGGCTAACGAACTTGCTCTTTCTTCTCTGTCACATCTCCATGAACTCCCGCAATGATTCGCGTCCTGGGTATGACGATAAACTACGTCCAAAAGCAAGGCTTCTGAGGCTTTGAGGAGCGTGGAATCACATCTTAATTGTTGGTGTTTCCAGGTTCATCCTGTCCCGGAGTGGTAGCACCTGTTAGGGTCCCAACTATGGGCAAATAGTTAACCCAGAAACTGAGGTAAAATGCATTATAAAAGTGTATAAATAGGTTTTAGTACCAGAAATAATTTGTAAAAAAATTATTACCAGAAATAAATCTTTGAGGAAAAAAAATGTTACCAGCAATAAGTTTTTGAAAAAAAAAAAAAAAACTATTACCAGCTATACGTTTTTGATTAACTATTACTTGCAATACGTTTTTGATTAACTATTACCAGCAATAGGTTTTTGAATAACTATTACCAGCAATAGGTTTTTGAATAACTATTACCAGCAATAGGTTTTTGAATAACTATGACCAGCAATAGGTTTTTGAATAACTATTACCAGCTATGTTTTTGAAAAAAATATTATTACCAGCCATACATTTTTGAGGAAAAAATCTTACCAGAAATAGACTTTTGACAAAACAAAAATATTATCAGAGTAAAAAAAGTTGTCGGCATTAAATGACCCATTGAGGTTGACATGCTGTAAAACAAAACAAACCAAACCAAATCCCGCAAGGATTCTCCGCAGCTCTGTCGTCACTACCCTCTTGATGGCATCCACGGCCAGAAAACTGGAGAAGCGTCTCTACTTACCCGATCTGGCTCAGTGTGATTTTTTTTTCCTTTCCCCCGAAGGGAATCATCAAGGGCCCCGTTTTCCAGACGTGGGAGCCATTAAGAGGGACGCGATTTTTAGACGACGTTAGAAGTATGATCTTCAGATGGAACCGGAAAACCCATCCTAAATAGAAAACAAGAGATAAACATTTACTCATGGTCAGAAAAAAAATGGAAGGCGTGAGAATTAGGGAAGAAATGAAAAATATCAAAAAGGAAGCAAAGATAGAAGAAGTAGAAATTTGAAAAAAATAAAAGAATAGTGAAATAAAAAGGGAATTGAAAATATGAAACGGAAAGAGTGACGAAACGGAAAATATAAGAAAGGAAGAAAAGGAAAATATGAAAAAGAAAGAAACGGAAGCTGTGAAGGAAAAGGAAGAAGTGAAGGAAAAGGAATCTGTGAAAGGAAAAGGAATCTGTGAAGAAGTGAAGGAAAAGGAATCTGTGAAGAAGTGAAGGAAAAGGAATCTGTGAAGGAAAAGGAATCTGTGAAGGAAAAGGAATCTGTGAAGGAAAAGGAATCTGTGAAGGAAAAGGAATCTGTGAAGAAGTGAAGGAAAAGGAAAACGTGCAACATTTGAAATAAAAAAAGACAAAGAAAAGCAAATGCGGAGAACTGAATAAAGAAGCGAAAAGATGTGAAGAAAAAAAAATAAAGAAAGAAAGAAGGAACATAAATAAGAAAGGAAAAGGCTGTTAAAAGAATAAGCACAAATATAGAAGAAACAGATATTTGAAGAACAATTGGAAGAAGAAGAAGAAGAAATGAAGAAAAACAACATCTGAAAGCAGTAAGCTAAAGAAGGAAAGTAGAAAAAAAGATGAAAAATGGCGGCGGAAAAAGATAATGACGAAATGTCCTTATCTTGGTCATAAGCTTCTACGCCAATAACACTCGCGCATTTCAT